AAAATCTTAAAATCTTAAAGTGGATGGAAAATGGATGGAAAATGGCCTGGATTGAAATCTCAAAATCCTAAAGTCTTAGATTCTTAAAATCTTAAATTAAAATCTAACAATCAATCTTAGAATCTCGAGATCTTAAAATCTTCGAACTTAGAATCTTAAAATCTGAAAATATAAAAACATCCTAAAGTCTTCGAATCTTGAAATCTTAAAACCCTTATGTCTTAGAATCTTGCGATCTTAAACTCTTAAAATATGAAATTCCTACAGTCTTAAACTCTTACTCTTGAAATTTGGAAATCTTGAAACCTCAAGATCTTAAACTTACAACCTTAGAAGATCGAATCTTACAATCTGAAAATATAAACATCCTAAAGTCTTCGAATCTTGACTTCTTAAAACCCTCATGTCTTTGATTCTTCAGATGTTAAAATCTAAAAATATGAACTTCCTAAATTCTCAAAGTCTTAAAATCTCAGAAGCTTTCAAAACTGAAATTCTTTAAATCTCGAACTATTGCAATCTGAAAATCTTAACTTCAGAAGCAAGTAAAATATAATAAGATTCCTTCAATCCGGGCTATATTTTAAATTCCTTAAACTCTTAATCTTGAAACTTTGAAGCCTTGAAATCTTGAGATCTTAAAATCTTGAATTCCGAAAGTCGCCAAATCTGAAAATCTCCGAAAAATAAAATCTTAAAGCCTTCGAAATCTGATAATAGATGGAAAATGGCTGGGCAATGGCCTGGCTGTTATAACCTTCAAAAACTTTAAATCTTTGACTCTTAAAACCTTAATTCTTAAACCATTGAAACCTTAAATTCCGACAGTCTTCAAATCTGAGACCCATAGAATTTCAAAGTTTTTAGAATCTGAAAATCTTAACATCTACTAATCGGACTTACAGGAAAGGGAAGTGACAGAACGAGCAGGGCAAGGTGCCCGGTGGCCGGCTGTGTCGCGTCAGCGTGTAATCCGGCCACCGGACGTGATCGGGCCGCAGGCCAAAGCCCGGTAGGGCTTACCTTCAGGTATAAGGCCGCGCGCCCCATGCCGCCGACCATGCGCGGACCATGCGCGGACCATGCGCGGACCATGCGCGGACCATGCGCATACGTTTTGTGCTGGGCCTGCCCTTATAAGGGGCGAAGGATTCGCGGATTGGTTTAGGCGATTTTCGGGGATTTTTGTAGCATCTCCCCGCAGCGCCCAAAAACAAGTGGTGCTATGCATGCTGGCGATGCGAAACAAGGGGCTGAAGGGGAAATACAAGGAAACAGGAGTGACTGAACGTGACCGAAATGAAAGTCAAAGGAATTGCGAGAAACCGAGATGCAGGAAAATGCAAGGGCAGAACGTGAAGAACCGGACAGCGGGCCTTCAAGCAAATGAAGGGAGCTGAAACGGCAGTGAAGTGGAAGGAAGCGAAGGGACATGCCAAGAAACTGTCAGGGAAGACATGCAAAGGAAGTAAAGTTCAAATCATCCCGAGAACTAACAGGACTTCGAGGGACAGGACATGAAAGAACGGGAAGGGGTGCCCGGTGGCCGGCTGTGTTGCGTCAGCGTGTAAATCCGGCCACCGGACGTGATCGGGCCGCAGGCCTAAGCCCGTTGGGGCTTACCTTCAGGTATAAGGCCGCGCGCCCCATGCCGCCGACCATGCGCGGACCATGCGCGGACCATGCGCGGACCATGCGCATACGTTTTGTGCTGGGCCTGCCCTTATAAGGGGCGAAGGATTTGCGGATTGGTTTAGGCGATTTTCGAGGATTTTTGTAGCACCTCCCCGCAGCGCCCAAAAACGAGTCCAAAAACGAGTATTTTTAGGGGGTGCCTAATACTGGACAACACCCCCAGCATTGCCAGCATCATCCCGGATGATGCGGATGATGTTATGCATGCTGGCGATGCGGGGGGTGCTGGGGATGTTGTCCCCTAAGTCGGGCCAATTTTGCCGAAAACGTGCAACCTGAAAATCTTAAAGTCTAAAGTGGATGGAAAATGGATGGAAAATGGCCTGGATTGAAATCTCAAAATCCTAAAGTCTTAGATTCTTAAAATCTCAAATTAAAATCTAACAATCAATCTTAGAATCTCAAGATCTTAAAATCTTAGAACTTAGAATCTTAAAATCTGGAAATATAAAAACTTCCTAAAGTCTTCGAATCTTCAAACCTTAAAAACCTTATGTCTTAGAATCTTGAGATCTTAAACTCTTAAAATATGAAATTCCTAAAGTCTTACAATCTTAAAATCTCGGAATCTGAAAAAGCTTTAAAAACTTAAATTCTTTAAACCTCGAACACTTGAAATCTGAAAATCTTAAATTATTAAAGTATTGCATTCCTTCAATCCGGGCTATATTTTAACTTCCTTAAACTCTTAATCTTGAATTCTTGAAATCTTGAAACCTTAAGATCTTAAAATTACAACCTTAGAAGATAGAATCTTGCAACCTGAAAATATAAACATCCTCAAGTCTTCGAATCTTGACTTCTTAAAGCCCTCATGTCGTTGAATCTTCAGATGTTAAAATCTTAAAATATGAAATTCCGAAACTCTCAAAATCTTAAAATCTCAGAATCTTAAAAGCTTCAAAAACTTAAACTCTTTAAATCTCGAACTATTGCAATCTGAAAATCTTAAATTCATGACCAAGTAAAATATAATAAAATTCCTTCAATCCGGGCTATATTCTAAATTCCTTAAACTCTTAATCTTCAAATTTTGAAGTCTTGACATCTTAAGATCTTAAAATCTTAAATTCCGAAAGTCGCCAAATCTGAAAATCTCACAAAAAATAAAATCTTAAAGCCTTCGAAATCTGATAATGGATGGAAAATGGCTGGGCAATGGCCTGGCTGTTATAACCTTCAAAAACTTACATCTTCGAATCTTAGAACCTTAATTCTTAAACCATTGAAACCTTAAATTCCGAAAGTCTTCAAATCTGAGACCCTTAGAATCTCAAAGTTTTTAGAATTTTGAAATCTTAACATCTACTCATCGGACTTACAGGACAGGGAAGTGACAGAAACTCATGTCTTTGAATCTTCAGATGTTAAAATCTTAAAATATGAAATTCCTAAATTCTCAAACTCTTAAAATCTCAGAATCTTAAAAGCTTCAAAAACTTAAATTATTTAAATCTCAAACTAGTGCAATCTGAAAATCTTAAATTCATGACCAAGTAAAATATAATAAAATTCCTTCAATCCGGGCTATATTCTAAATTCCTTAAACTCTTAATCTTCAAATTTTGAAGTCTTGACATCTTAAGATCTTAAAATCTTAAATTCCGAAAGTCGCCAAATCTGAAAATCTCACAAAAAATAAAATCTTAAAGCCTTCGAAATCTGATAATGGATGGAAAATGGCTGGGCAATGGCCTGGCTGTTATAACCTTCAAAAACCTTAAATCTTTGAATCTTCAACCCTTAATTCTTAAACCATTGAAACCTTAAATTCCAAAAGTCTTCAAATCTGAGACCCTTAGAATCTCAAAGTTTTTGGAATTTTTAAATCTTAACATCTACTCACCGGACTTACCGGAAAGGGAAGTGACAGAACGGGCAGGGCCAGGTGCCCGGTGGCCGGCTGTGTCGCGTCAGCGTGTAAATCCGGCCACCGGACGTGATCGGGCCGCAGGCCAAAGCCCGCAGGGCTTACCTTCAGGTAAAAGGCCGCGCGCCCCATGCCGCCGACCATGCGCAGAACATGCGCCGACCATGCTCCGACCATGCGCATACGTTTTGCGCTGGGCCCACCCTTATAAGCGGCGAAGGATTTGCGGATTGGCTTAGGCGATTTCCGAGGATTTTTGTAGCATCTCCCCGCAGCGTCCAAAAACGAGTCCAAAAACGAGTATTTTTAGGGGGTGCCTAATACCGGACTACACCCCCAGCATTGCCAGCATCATCCCAAATGATGCGGATGATGCTATGCATGCTGGCGATGCGAAACAAGGGAAACTGGAATGACTGGAAGAGAGCGAAATGGTAGTGACAGGAATTGCACGAACACGACGAACATGAAGAGCTGGAGAGAAACCAAAATGCAGGAAAACAGAACGCGAAGGGAAGCGGAGGACGAGAACGAAATTGAAGAGAACTGAAGGGACGTGCAGGAAACTGACGTGGAATGGGAGGCGGACTGAAGCCACGGAAACTAAAAAGAACAGAGGGAAGGAATGCGACTGACACGGCGCTCAAGGAAATGCACGGAGCTCAAACAGACAGGCCGTGAAGGGAAATGCCAGGAAACTGTCCAGGATACAGGCAAGACACGCAAAGGAAGTGAGGTTCGCATCTCGGGAACTAATCGGAATTAGAAGAAAAGGAAATAACAGGCAGGGCAGGGTGCCCGGTGGCCGGCTGTGTCGCGTCAGCGTGTAAATAGTTCATAGCAAAACCGGCGTGCCAGCAAAAGGGGCCTGGTCATCGGGAATTGTTTCACACACCGATCAGAAGCCGGGGACCGGTTCCTGCACCAACCGGGGACCGGTTTGCGCAACCCCGGTTTGATGGCCCACTGGCGACCGGTTTGTGCAAAGACCCCAAGCTGTTCAGCTGTTGGGAAGTAAATTAATAAGTGAACAAATCAACAAAAAAACAAATACACAAACAAACAAACAAACAAACAAACAAACAAACAAACAAGCAAGCAAGCAAGCAAACAAACAAACAAACAAACAAACACACAAGTAAAGAAATACATAAATGAATGAATGAATAATGAATGAATAAATGAATGAATAAATGAATGAATAAATGAATGAATAAATGAATGAATAAATGAATGAATGAATGAATGAATGAATAAATGAATAATGAATAAATAAATTAATGAATGAATAAATGAATAAATGAATAAATAAATACATATAAAAAGGGACAAATGTAAATAAGTAGACAAATGAAAACAAAAAGAAACCAAAAAAAGGTGTCTCCTGCTTTAACAGGTATTTTCAATCATGGGGTTGAATTGAATCCAAAAGAGCCTGGTGTCTGACAGCCGGTTCTGCGCCAGCAGCAGCGCGCTGAGCTGCGGCGCGCTGCAGAGCCACGGCAGTAGCAGCGCCAGGCCGCGGTCGCCCACGCCACACCCGGAGAGGTTCCTTCGAACGTGGCTCGACCCCTGGTTTTGAGAGAAGCGCCCAACAAATTCTGGCTTTGACCGCAATGCAGCGCCCAAAAGCCTTTTTTGGTTCTACCAACATGGTCATAAAGGTTTCTCTAGGCCTCCTTTGTGAAACTGCTTTTGGTTCTATCAACATGGTTATAAAGGTTTGTCCACTTACTCCTTTGTGAAAGCAAGTGCGTGGAACCACCTACTAAAATTACCAAAGAGGCTGCGCGCCAAGCGAGCCCTGAACAAAGGGTTCCTGTCTTTGATGAGAAATCCCCAACTTTTCAAAAGGTTTGTAACAGCTCAACCTATTAAAGACTAACTAAACCGTTGATTGCCTCCTTTTTGACAGGGAATCAGTCATTGCCGACGGGTTACTCTCTCCTTCGCCTAGCTGCCAAAGGGGGTCTGGAAAACAAGAAGAAGCAATTACCCATTCCATGTTTGTTCGTTTTGTATCACCATGTTGTTCGTGTGGGGGCTATCACCAAACGCTCTAGGGGTTGATTCCCCATTCTTTTCAACCATCATTCTTTCCAAAAACCGGATCCGTTTTCCTCGGGTTTCCGGAGGTTTTCTAGAAGGATCCCTGGAAAGAGTGCAAATGGAAGGTCCCCCTAGAAACACCAAGGTTCAACCACTGCAGGTTGCGCGCCCTGCACTGCCCCAAGGTCGCGGCTATGGGCCCCAGCAGGGAGGTGAGCTCTTTGCCCAAGGGCAGCCCGGCCAAGTCAAGCACCTCCACGCGATGACCCTGGGCCGTCAGGAACACCGCAAGGGCCGTCCTTGGTACCAAAAACACACCAAAACGGCTCGAGAGATTGCAGATTGCAGGGGACCTTTTGGGGGCTTGCACTTGGCCATGGTTTTGAAGCTGCGTTTACAATAACTGGTTCAGATTGTCCTCAATATTTAATCACACCAAAAAAAGCAGATGCTCGGGTTCTGTGTCATAACTTAACTAGTGAGCCTTCAAATAGTTGCTGAGAAGACCCCAGTGTCATCAGCAAGCGCAACGGTGCCGTATGGAGCGCGCTGCCCTGGGTCTTCGCTGCTGCTGCCGCCTGCTTTCGGTACGCAGCATCATGCCCGAAGCAATGCATGCCATCGCCTCGGCCAACGTTCAATCCCAGAATTTATATCTTTCCTACCATCATATGGGTAAAAGAGCTTCCTACCATCATCATGTTGTAAAAAAAAAAAAAGATCCAGCGCTGGCCCAGTCTCGCAGGATGATCTGCCGGATTCCTGGAGGTTGCCCTCGCAGGGTCGCACAGACTGCCGAGATCAAAGTCTTGGCCAGGCGGAGGTCCAAAGACAGCGCCGCGTCTTGGGCAAGCTCCCTCAATACGATGGGATCCGGCGGGCAGCCAAGCTTGAAACCTTGGGTGCTGTAGATCCCCCGGCAAGAAGTTTAACTTTTCGCTGGTTGAAAGGAAACATGAGGGGGATCCAAAAAGCTAAAGTCTAAAGATCCAGCCCAATAGCAGTAGAGAAACATGCTTGAGCATAGGTCCCCGCAGCGCCCATGCGCCCGCGACTTCGCAAGCTTCGGGCTCCGCGAGTGGGATGGGCTTTGCATCCGGGCATGGGAATCGGGCTCTCTGACCATGCGGCACGCTCAAACCAAGCCCCTACACTCAATACCCGGCCTTTTTTCAGGGTATGATGTCGACCCTCTACTAAAAAAGGAGGTCTTTGCCATGGAAAACCAGGTTTTCCCAAAAATACCCTGGAAAAAGCGGGTATTTGGAGTAGGGGGAAGCTTGATCATGATGGTTTGCTCTAGGAGAGACCCAATGCTTCCGATTGGCGATGTGGGTTCACGCGAATTGACCAGCTGGGCACAAGCTGACAGGCTTCGTATCCCAACCCTCTGAGCAATGGCTGACGGCTCAGTGCACGATTCCTAATGAAGGAACCCTTTGGTGGACATCATTTGGGTGGGGATTCTTGTCCACCACCCGCTTTTGAGGCGATCCCCCGGTAAAATCCATACCCAGCTCAGCTGACTCTTGGTGGCTTCCCCCATGCTTTCTTCAAAGGGTTCCAATGCCACTGTTCGTCTTTATGCTGCGCAAAGGCCACGAGGGCAGGGAAAACAAGGCTCAGAATTCCAAGGCAAACAAAATAATTTAATTCATTTAATTTGCTCATTTTTCTTTTAAATTTATTATTATGTTTATTTAAATAATTTATGTTTTTTTTTTTTTTTAATTTAATTCATCAATTTTTAATTCATTGTTTTTCACATTTTTCTTTACTAATTTTAACTCTTTTTTTTATGGCCGTCGGGGAAGGCCCTTTTAACATCCCAGACCCAAACTGAGCTGGCCGCACTGTCCACCTTAGCCAGGCCCCACCTGTCGCCACGGAATTGGAGACTGCGACCTGGGTATCCTTTTCGGGAACCCTACTTAGGGGAAAGGCGAAAAATTTGCTCGCGGGAGGGCGGCGACAGCAGGTTTCAAGGGGCTGATTCCCCAAGTCCACTCTTTCTTGACCAAAGGCGCAAAAGGCGCCAGCATGACGTCAAGGTCTGAAAAACCATGGCCCGGTGTTTTTTTCAACACTTGGCGCCCATCCGCAAAATGCGGAGGGAAGGGCCCACCCAGGCAAAAGGTTCAGCTGTTCGGTTTGCCCAACCGAGGCCTTCCATACCATCTCCACCCTTTCGTGGCTTGTTAACCCTGAACCGTTCGAGGGTGTTCTTCACATCGTTTGTAAGATGCGAACGAGCTTCGCTCGGCCAGGTTCCAGTGCAGTCAACATAATTACGCGGGGAAAGGAAAAACAAAAGAGAGAGCATGGGAAAATGAGGAAACAAAAGCGGCTGAAAGGTGTCGCGGTTAGAAAACCGAAGCCTAACTAAGATTTGATTGCGCCAAAACCTCAGGCACCATCCCTCGGCTTTCAGCTGGCCTTGGGAATGTCGAAATGCTCCGACAGACTTCCCAGGTGCGCATTCAGCTTGTCCATGCGCTGACGGTGCCTGCGGAACTCCAAGATCTCAGATCTTCGGAGCCAAGGAAGCCCAAAAAGGCGGGGCCCGACCCCAGTTTCAGAACCCCGAACTCCACCAGAAAGAACGGAGCCAAGGAAGAGCCCAGAGCCCAAGTAGCCCCAAACTTCCCAAGAAAGAGATTGCCTGTTGAGCCTCCCAAGCCCTCACCAAAGCGGATTTCTGGGCCCAATCCCAAAACGCCTTCAGCTGAGCAAAAAAAAAGCCGAGCGGACTTTTTGCTGGTGCCTCCGGCTCCGGGAATCTCGAATCTCGACTAGCCGGAAAAGATCCCCGCTTCTTCCATTCCTGTGGTCTTGTTTGGGGGTATCCTTTTTGGGTATGCTTCCCCTCACACATCACCGAATTCCGGGTCGCGGGACTGCAACTAAATGGGTGAAGGAAATCGACGATTTTCTTGCTGGCGCCTAGCAGAGAATGAGGGAATGACCCCTATAAGCAATCCCTCAATTCCCAGGTTTATTCCCAACACCTGGAATGGTCATTCCCTACTGAACACCTGCAATATGTTGCCGATTCTCGTGTCCATTGGGCTTTTTCGGCGACGCAGAGCCCCCATTGCGTTGCAAAAACCGAACCATGAATCAAAGCCAATAGGTTTCGGGCACTGCCCAACTGATTTCGGGGGCAGCGATCTCAGCGGGAAAACGATTTCACCTCCTTCGCCATCTGGCAGAAGCTGAACAGAAAACAAAATCCCAAGTAAAGGTGTCCTTTTAGTCAGGCAGGAAAGATCAGGGTCATAGACTGTCCTGTCTTGAAACAAAAGATCCCAAGTGTCGCCTCACTGGACAACCCCGCCACATTCAAGAACGGAGCATCTACTGCCCAAACGGTGACTTCCATTTCTTTCCCACACCAAAATGGGTACCCTGAAAAAAAAGAAAAGAGAAAGCACACCCATATGGGTGTGGGTCAAAAATAGGTACCCCAACATGGAATTCTGGTCAATGGAAACGGCTAAAACCTACCCCTAGGTCTTTTCGGGAGCGCCGCTCGAATTTTTCTCCGTGCCGAGACACGTGTACTGGATCGCCTGGCATCGGAACCAGCCGTTGCGGGTTCGTGGACAGAGCCAAAAGGAGGTCGCTTGAAAAGAGTTGGACAGTGTTGATACTGCAGTCATCTTCACCCCATCTTCATCAACCCTAGTTTATGAATAGGGGTGTCCAACTGGGTTTAGTGGGGAATCATGACTTTTGGAAGGGAACACCCCCTATTAATAAACTGGGGTTGATTAAAATGGGGTCATGTTTTTATGCGAAATCCTGGTAATGTCCGATGGAAACGGATCGATCGCCCAAGGGGCGGCGGACGGCCATCAGATAGACTTGCGAGCTTTGAACCCTATATTTCCCCTGGCTTTAAAGATCCTGGCATTCTCTTCTGAGATGCTTTTCGAGCGGAGTGATGTGAGAAAAAAAAAAAGAAGAAAAAAAAGAAAAAAGAAAACATAGGGAGCCCTAGTCAATCAGTTTCTCTCTGATTTGATATTTTAATTCCTCGGACTTCAAAAGCTTCCCATTCAAGAGCCAGCCACCAATCCAAACCCTTTGCGGGGGAAGCTGACCCATCCACTGGCGCCTGCCTCGTTGATTCTCTGGTTACTCCTCTTCTCCCTGCGGCTTTCCGGAGAGCCAAAATCACCCGAAATCTGAGATAAACGGGGATTAAAAACTGTGTCATTTTTTGAGGGTTGTCTAAACTCAAGAGTCCTGCATTGACGGGGCTTCAAAAAGTGTAGCGGTGGGGATGTACAGTCAAGAGCGCAGGTGTACGTACAGCTGGATGTGTGCAAGCACTTTGGGCGTGCGTCGGGCACGCGCAAAAAATCACAGCACAGTTTGAAAGACCGAGCAAAAAAAAACAGCAAATGTTGAAGAAAACACAGCAGATTTTGGCGCACACTTTTCCGTACAGCGTGTGCGTACGGTTTGCGCGTACAGTGGTGTAGGCGTACACTGTACGCACACCGTAAGCACACTGTGCGCACACCGCGCGTGCACCGCGCGCGCACCGCACACGCTGCGTGCGGGCGCTGCTTGCGCACCGTACAGGCACCGCGCACACACACACACACACACCCACACCCACACCCACACCCACACCCACACCCACACCCACACCCACACCCACACCACACCACACCACACCACAACACAACAACACAACACAACACAACACGACGCGACGCAACGCAACGCAACGCAACACAACACAACACAACACAACACAACACACACACACACAAAACACACACAACACAACACAACACCACACAACTCACACCGTATGCACACCACGCAAACCGTACACACACCCTACCGTACTCATGCGTCAGCCTTCTATCATGTAAGGGGATTCCCTGGATACGGAAAGTGGCAACCTATCCAGTTTCTCTCAGACCAGACTTGCAAGCGCAAGGGCGCGATCCCAACTTATTGACTCCTGTGAGTCCAAAGGCACCCTGCGGCTAAGGAAAAGCCGCCCCACTTTGGAGGTCTCCCCTATTGGAACCACCCCTTTGGGTTTCGAGCACACGAAATCAACGTCTTGGCGTCCTTCTGTCCCATCCAATGTGGAGACATTCGTTCTCAACTTGTTCTAAGAGGGGAAAAGAACAGAAACTATGCCGGGTTCATTTGTCAACCAGGGGCGACTGTGATCCTGGGATCCCACTCTTTTTTCGGTTGAACCGAGAGATATAGCGGGGTCTCTGGCTTCCCTTTGCACCAACCTACAACCACGGGGTTCTACCGACATGGTCCTGGGCCTTACTACTAAACACCCGATTCGGCGCTGGAGAAGCAAGGTTGGGCCCTCCAAAGAAAACACTTTGTCATTGGAACGGAAGGAAAAAAACAAACAAATCATCTTGGGGTCGTTAAAAGAAGAAGAAGAAGAAAAAAAATAAAAACGGAAGAAAACAAAGTTGGGGGGTCAAAAAACAGCAACGAAAACGAGAAAAAGTTGGAAAACCAAGCGGCCTGGTCCAACCCCCAAAACCCAAACCCAGCTGCGGCCTGGCCATCTTGAAGGTCTGCTGTGCCAGTGTGGGCCCTTGGGACGCGCCCTTTGTCAGCTCAGCCTGCTCCTGATCGATCACGGCGATGGTTTCGGTTCTGAAGAAACCTGTAAACATCGGCTATGTGTTGCTTGGCCTTGATCTTCGAAGAAAACGGTGCACCGAAACAGGCGCGCGATGAGTTGAAGAACCCACAGGACCCATCTGGCTGTGGCTCAAAAAAACGGTACTAAAATGGCTTGCCCTGGTAAGTGGAAACATGGACCAAAACCTGCGTAACCCCTCCTGTTTAATTTTGAGCCAAACCCATCTGAAACCTTGGGTTGGTCTGGTCTCAAAATTTTCGGAGCCCGAAAAAGGGGAGGTTCAAAGGGAAACCAATAGGAAACCAACCTTGGGTCCAAAGAAGGCCCAAAAGGGCGGTCTTTTTTGAAGACGGAGAAAAGAGATCTTGAGAATCCCACAAAATTCAACCACCTGATGCCCAAGAAAAGGCATCCCATTGAGCAAAAATCACCAAACCCATTGGCAGATTGACTCCATAGGTATGCTGTTGGAGAGAAAGGCAGCTTTGTGTCGTTTTGGGGACATGGACTGAGTGTTTACTGGCAAATGAAACCTAAAAGGACCCAAACTGACCTAAACTGAACCTTTTTGACCCGCCGAAGGGATTTCGGTCCAGCGACCGAAATGCAATCGCGCGTGTCCTTGCCTGCAGCTCTGCATCTGCATTGGCCTCTCGGTACAAGAGCTTACTTGAATGCTCCATCAAAACAAGCAAGTAGGTTGTAACCAATGGGTATAAGTGGACCAATCCCAATTACCCTAGCTATAACCATGGTTGTGACCTACTTTCTTAGCTGAACATCCCAGACTAGGGTGAAAGCAGATGGCACCAAAGCGAATGGCGTTTGTAAAAGAGGACGCTGAAACCTAAAGGAGGTTGAGCATGTTCCCCGCGACCCTGCCTGACACGGAACCAAAAAACCAAGACTAGAGGAAACTACTTGGTGAACGCTTCTGGCTTTTTCAAGAGCATGGCTATCTACCAGCTTTGGATTTGATGTTGTAGTGGGAAAGCCTTTTGTGAGCATCATTTGAGTTGAAGCTTGCGTCAGCCAACCATTGCATCATAGCCACCCAGCACCCAAAATCCATTGACTTCTGGTTCTACCAACATGCTTACAAGGGTTTATGTAGGCCGTATTCTGACCCCAATTCTTCTTGGTAGTAGACCCTACTAATATTTGGCCATAAAGGTTGTTGGCTCTGCTCACTTGTTTCTGGCTTGCAGTTGGGTAAAAGTAAGTCGCAGCAAGCTCACCCTTTTCCAGCGATGGAGGTGGATGCGTTGGGCTGCTGGAAAAGCCTACCCGTTTCTTTCCGAATCCTTTTGGATCAATACTCCTAAATTTTCCGCGGATTTGAGAAGAAAAAAAACGACCTGAAAAGAGATCGGACAAGATATGACTGATGTCCAGAGCCGGTGGTTTCCCTGGGTTTTGGAGAAGGGCCCCGGGAAAGAAGGGTTTCGAAAAACGTTTCGAGTGTGGCAGACAGAAATGTCTGATGTGGGTAAGAGGAGATGACAAAGATGGTGGCAAAATGGGCCATCCACTTTCACCCAACTGTAAATTGAGGAGCACCGAAAACCTCGACCAAGATTCTTAGGTTTATGCAGCCCTTGTTGGAACCGCCTGTGATGTCTAATAGAATCTCCTAACATGGCCCCTTTTGCATTCGCCCTTTGCGCTGCGAAAAAGTGGTTTTCATGGGGCGATCTGGCCATGGGTCAAAATCCAAATCGTTCCCCCAGCGAACATCCGATTCAATCCAACAGCTAAAATGGGTTCTAAAATGGGTGGTGAATTCACCTACCATTGACAACCACAGCCATGTGTCACCCAGTCACCGTACGCCCGATGGTTCGTAGTGTCCCAGGGGTTTCATGGGGTGATCTCCAGACTCTAAAAGTTGGCCGATTCGGCCGATTCGGCCGATAGCGAAAGGAAAACACCTGCCTGCAGCTGCTCCGTGAGCGCCTCTTCTTCCGTCTTCTTCTTCCTCCGCCCAAATGGGTATGGGTGATCATAATCATCTAGCCCCAAAAATTGGGTGTTTTGATGGTTGCGAAAAATCCACCCTTGTTGCGCTACTATTGCGACCATTCCCAGGACTTCGTCATACCTTTGAAGGGGTTTCCCTTGGTATTGTGGATGGACAAATTTCCGCACCAGTTGGGATGGATGAAACCCTCTGGGATAAACCACCATCTTGTGGATTGGGCACCTAATTTTGACCCACAGCGCCTTGATTCGCAGGCGAGCAACGGGCAAACCTCCCGATATGGAAGATTTCATGAGTCCCCCCGTTTTCGGGTGGGGAAATTTTCGTGAGTCGTCCCCCACATCCCTCCCAAACTGACTACAGGCTACTGTTGTTTTGGGAGCCGAACCTCAGCTGGCGAAGAGCGGAAATCCACTCAGTTCCAGACTTCTTGGTCGCCTTCACGCCCACTTCCCTGGCAGCCAGACTGAAGCAACAGTTCGTGGAGCGCCACATCCCGCGACACTACGAACCATTGGGCGATTGGCGTACGGTGACTGGGTGACACATTCCGGTGCCTGACTTTTTAAGACAACATCTGGCTTTGAATTCAAAGGCTGTGCCCTCCAATGAACATGCATCCTACCTGACGTTTCGGAAAGTGGGTCCTTGGCTTTGGACATGTTGGACCATTTTCCTTTTCAACTGACCGTTTGGTTCAAGTCGAGTTCCATCTGAAAATTGCTAGGGTTCTAGGGGTTGATTCCAACCACTCTTTTCGACCATCCTTCTTTTCAAAAACCGGATCCGTTTTCCCCAGACATTTGGGGGTTCCGGAGGTTTTCTAGAAAGATTCGGATCCCTGGGTTCAGAATGGGGAAGTGTTTTCTAGAGTATTAATGGCTTTTACATAGGTGTCCTTTTTTGGTTAGTGTGGTTAAAGATAGAAGGCACTGGTTTAGAGGGGTTTTATTCCATTTGCTGCTAGGTATCCCTAGGGTAGATCAGCAGCTGGCCGGGCGGCCCCGGGAAACCCCCGCCTGCTTTTGTCCCCGCCCTTGAGCTTCAACCCGCTCTTGATCACGGTGTCCTTGGCGTATCAAAACGTGGGACGTCAGAAAATCAAACCCCTTTTTAGAGAATCCCAAAGGGAGGCCTTTTAAGGAAACCCGCCGTAAAATGCTCACTTCTGTGGACTGGCCAGACAAAGTCTGGACTTCTTTCTTACCACTAAGAGTGATATTAAACTGGTCGTAATCCCAGCACCATGCTTCAAGAATTCAGAAGGCGGCGATCCGCAGCTATTTATGGCTGGGAGTCTCCCTTCGCCTCCATCTACCCGGGCTTTGATCACGTGGCTGGCGGAAATTTTGGTGGCCCCCGAAAAGGGAACACAATGAAGAAAGACATGCAGGTGAGTCCGGGATAAAAAAAGCAGTGGGGCGTGTGCCGAAAAGGGAACACTCAAAATACTGGGCATCATGATTGTAGAGGACAATACTGCGGATGGACGAAATCCTGCACCACCTAAGAAACCCTGGAATGACGCTCATCCTGTAAATACCAGCAAACAATGGTTTCCCATGGTTTCAATCGGTGCATGATTTCCTCCATCCACAGTATCATCACCGGGTCGACATCAAGCAGTTGAGTGGTGGAAGCAATATGCTTGCATGCAACAAACGAGCATAGCCATCCGACATCCAATTGCACAGGGCTTTCCTGCGTCATCCAGAATTCCGGTCGCATGTTGGCACGTCTCTACGAATTCATATACATACTGTGGATGGACGCAATCCATTTCGCACCACTTTAAAACCATGAGAAACCACCGTTTGTTGGTATTTACAGGGGAATCATCATTCCAGGGTTCTCAGGTGATGCAGGATTTCGTCCATCCACAGTATCAATAGGATAACCACAGACAGACAGACCTAGAGGTTCACTTGCTTCTTGCGGGACAAGCGTGCCCGTGCGGAGGCGCGGGACAACTTTGGCGCTACCATAATGAGCAAAGGCCAGTCGTCTTCGGCCCGCAACAGCGGTTTTCAGAACCTCGACACCGACGAAACACGGTGAGAATCAACGTGCGCTTCTGCCAACAGCGGAAAAAGAGCAAAAACGCGGCATCTTGCCCAGCGTCGTATTTTCCCGACGAAGAGGCCATGGCAAGTCTAGCTACTCAGCTTGTCCATCGACTAATCCAAAATCGGGCCACGTGTCTAACAAGTCGGCAATGGATGACAATGGCATTGTCACCCCCTCGAGTCTGTATGGAAGTAACACATTGAAGCTTTGAGCCAAAGCATGAAGACACAAAGCATGCTGCACTCAACCAGGAGCTTCTGCGGGCCACATAATACCGTGCAGTCAGATCTGCTACTCAAGCTCGGGAGTCAATTTCCGTTGGCGGACAGGAATTCTCGGTGAAACGATATCAGCGTGTGAGACGAGTGACACATCCGGCCTCAGCGCGCGAATTTCAAATCGGCTCATTCCCCTAGCTCCTAGGAGTGGCCCGGTGTTACTACGTCAAAGGAAGGGAGAAGGTCTAGTCGCTTTCGGACCCAACCTGTTAAGTGCACTTAATTGCCACTCGAAGACGTGACCGGACTAACCGGCTCGGTCTGAGGAAGATGGTCCAAATCAGAAGGGACTGGAATCTTACATCTCCCATTTTTTGGACATCCCCCGCCTTTGTTTGAATAATCCTTCCTCCCATTAACGAGGGCAAGATGCGCGAAACCCCCATGTTCCGCGCCCAAAGCGGATTGACTGGGCTGTCAAGCTGGCTATAGCTTCTATGGGCACAATTATACTGTGGACAAAATCCATTTCGCACCACCTAACAACCCCCCCGGAATGTTGATTCCTGTAAATACCAACAAACGCTACGGTTTCATCCCACATGAGTGGGTCAAAATCCAAATCGTACCCCTAGTGAACATCCGATTCAATCCAACCACTAAAATAGGAAGCCTAACATGGGTGGTGAATTCACCAACCAAGAATGGGATCAAGCGTTGAACGGTTTTGACACCCACAGCCACATGGCACTCGGCTTTTTGCGCGGAGGGCATAGCGCAGGCCGCGGCGCCTCATCCGGCTTCTTCGTCCGGGAGTGGGTCCACTCCAACGGCCGCATCCACGCCTCGGGCCCCCGGACAGCGGAAAGCGGGAAGAACGCCGCTGTCCGCGCAACGCCGTTGCGATTGGCCGCGAGGCGTTGGGGGGGAGAACAAAAAACAGATCCTTCCTATTCCAAGGGGAAAAACAACTTCTGAGAACAAAAAGAAAGAAAGAAACAGATCCTTCCTATTCCAGGGGGAAATTAAGAAGAAGAAACAAACCTCTGAGAAACTTCAGGGAAGCTTCTTGTCTCCAAGGCGAGGGTTTTGTTTCCCTCTCCCCGAGGGTCTCCCAAGGAGAAAGAAACCATGGGGCCGAAGTCTTCGGGACCTCCGAAATGCGTGGCCCATGGCCTCAGGGCTTAAGCCTTGTCCCACTGGTAGCAGTCTCATGACTTCGGGTTTCCGGAGAAAAACGGTACCAACTTTTCCTCCCATGACGCACCGGGACGGTAGTGGGAGGGTACCTGGAAGATCAGCTTTGAAGGGACCCCCTGATGGTTTTCGTGGGAGGGCGGGTACCAACTTCACCCATCCGCATCTTGCAAGCTAGCTCGCCCTTCCGAAGTTGACTCTCCGTGGATTGGTGAGCAGCCAAACTGTTTGTGTACCAAAAGGGTCCTCCCCAAGAGCGGCAAAAGCTCGGGAACTCGCAGAGTTGGTATGTGTCCAGATAAGGGGCCCACAAACTTGCTTTGCCTGATTTCAGCAGCGTGCGAAGCTGTTCTTTTAGTTTCAGGGTTTTCAACGGCGTGAGCTCGATTGTTTCGAGACTGAGGTTGTCTTGTACTTGTCCGCGTTTCCCTTTAAGCCGACCCGAAACAGATCCCCGCGAGGCACGCCGCCAGTGATTCTCGCCCGCAAAACCAACGCCGGCCTGTGACCGGATCCACCGGACTCTGCGAGACTGACCTGGCGCCGAGCGCTTGGCGCGAAGCGTTCAACCTGCCTTTACACTCTCACACAGGCCCAAGTGTTTCGAGATTGAGACTTCTAATTCATTCAACATTCAATATCTTTATGTTTTTTGACATGTCCAAATGACCAAGGGCCACTTGGACATCTTTAGATGAGTCACAATGCAAGCTTGATATTAAAGTGGTCTGTTCACCATCTAGAATCTGAACAATCACAACTGCGATAGACCTATTTATGGTTGGCACTATCCCCTCGCAGGCTATGATCCGACATGGAAGTGCCATCTTCCAGCCTCTTCTCCACTAGGTGATACCTGGCAGGCTTCTTTGTGGCAGTCGCATTCACACCGGTGTCGGTGTTGGGGGTAACAAAGAAACATAGGATCACTTTGTATATGGAGGTGTCTAAGAAATGGACCCTTCTGGTTGGTAAAGGGACACAAAAAGGAACTGGTTGCCATTGTTAGGGGGCCGTTTTGGGGGAACACCCAGGCTATGTGTCCATAGCCTTCAAACGGTTAAACGGGTCGCAAATCAACACACACTCGGCCCATATGGCCATGGGTCAAAAACCCGTACCAGTGAACATCCCAATCCCCACGATTTTTTGACCAAAATGAGTGGTGAATTCACCCACCCCCAAACTGGGATACCAAAACGGTTTTGACCCACAGCCATATGGTCGTTGTGGATTTGAAGCCTTTATTCTTTGAGGGATATCCATTCAATGGTCGATTTGAGGGATGTCCATAACCAGCCTTCAAACGGTTAAATGGGTCTCCAATCAACCCACCCGGCCCATATCCGATCCATGGAAACCATCGCTGGAGCCGAAGGATTTGTCAGGTCCACCAGTAGACGTTGAGCTCATCGTCGCGGAAGGGGATCCAGGGCCCCGTCTCGACCTAAGGAAGCGGCTGCGCGTCGGTGCGTGTTGGAAGTTCTGACGTGGTTGCTCAAAGAGACGCCCAGCATTTTGGAGGGGTCACCGAAAAACCGAAAAAGCATGCACCCACCAAAAAAAGTGTTGGAGGAGTCACCCGAAAAAGACGCACCCACAAAAAAAGGAAGACGATAGATCGATTCCACTGTGAGTGGTCGAATCTATTGGATTTACCTTGGCATTGCGGGCATGGAAGGTCAATCTGCAAGCATGTCACAAATTTCTGACAGCCTCCTACGGGAACCGCCAACCCTTTGTGTCAAGAATGCATAAACATCTATTCTTAAGCCAGCCTCCTTTTGGTTCGCCCTTTTAAAAAGGGGCGCCGCAAAAATGGCTGTGAACTTTCATAGGAGACCCTCTGGTACCACTTCTGAGGTGGCTCCCTGTTATAATTCACAAAGGATCGCAGGGCCGGCCTTGCAGCAAGTCGCGGACAAACATCAGCTGCCATAGGTGTCCTTTTAGGGGAAATAGATGGATTTCCCTGGTAGATGATTCAACCACGAGGTAAACCAGGGATCGCCGTCCATTTTCCGAGCAAAACCACCAAAAAGGACACCTATGTCAACTGCTGTTCCACTCGGAACTTCATCTTTGGGGAGCTGTGATTGGCGCAAGTTGGGGCTGGCACCGTGCAAACCAGTGGCCATGGGTCAAAACCCAAATCATACCCCCAGTGAACATCCGATTCAATCTAACCACTAAAATAGGTTCTAACATGGGTGGTGAATTCACCTACCCCAAAATGGTACCATTGGTTTTGACCCACTGCCAAGTGGCAGCTTGAGGAGTTTTTTTGGCAGTCGCCCCAAACCTTGGGACTCCCAAAATCTTGAACCCGCCAAAGGGGCTCGGGAAGATATGCGACGAATCAGCCAAGGTCAACGTTTACAAAATGGACCCCATGCCTTCTCAGGGTGCAACTGGTGAGACCAGCAAGACGTGTGACCCCTAGAACGGACTTCAATGGCACTGGTGACTCTACAGACCGGCCCTCACCCAAGCATCCCGTGAATGCCATCACCCCCATTGTGAAGGCGCAAAATGCCAAACATGTGACTTCAAGACCCAAATGATGGTGCTGCATTTGGTTGTTTTCCCTGACCAGCCTCTTAAACAGCTGTGACGATTCGAAGTCAGTGTGGCAGAACTCTTTCATCTACTCCAACTAGGGTGACGCCCATAACCTGCCAGGTTTTGGTTCTACCAACACCATCAATACACTCTTGTAGGCTTTGCTATAAGCCCCAATTCATCCAGGTCAGAACCATCTACTAAAATTGCACACAGGGGTCTTGGGCGCTGCTCAAATGGCCATGGGTCAAAGCCCAATGCCCACTAAAACAGACTAGAATGGGTGGTGCACCTATCCCAAAATGGTACCATTGGTTTTGAACCATAGCCAAATGGGTTCTGGGATTCTGCACGTGACATGATTGTCAAGTTAGCACCAGCGGGTCGTCCGAATCCCACTTCGGCCTGATGTTCGGATCACTCCATAGCACACTGAACACCGCCTTTTTGCGGCTACCTCTGTGTGTGTGTGTGTGTGTGTGTGTGTGTGTGTGTGTGTGTGTGTGTGTGTGTGTGTGTGTGTGTGTGTGTGTGTGTGTGTGTGTGTGTGTGTGTGTGTGTGTGTGTGTGTGTGTGTGTGTGTGTGTGTGTGTGTGTGTGTGTGTGTGTGTGTGTGTGTGTGTGTGTGTGTGTGTGTGTGTGTGTGTGTGTGTGTGTGTGTGTGTGTGTGTGTGTGTGTGTGTGTGTGTGTGTGTGTGTGTGTGTGTGTGTGTGTGTGTGTGTGTGTGTGTGTGTGTGTGTGTGTGTGTGTGTGTGTGTGTGTGTGTGTGTGTGTGTGTGTGTGTGTGTGTGTGTGTGTGTGTGTGTGTGTGTGTGTGTGTGTGTGTGTGTGTGTGTGTGTGTGTGTGTGTGTGTGTGTGTGTGTGTGTGTGTGTGTGTGTGTGTGTGTGTGTGTGTGTGTGTGTGTGTGTGTGTGTGTGTGTGTGTGTGTGTGTGTGTGTGTGTGTGTGTGTGTGTGTGTGTGTGTGTGTGTGTGTGTGTGTGTGTGTGTGTGTGTGTGTGTGTGTGTGTGTGTGTGTGTGTGTGTGTGTGTGTGTGTGTGTGTGTGTGTGTGTGTGTGTGTGTGTGTGTGTGTGTGTGTGTGTGTGTGTGTGTGTGTGTGTGTGTGTGTGTGTGTGTGTGTGTGTGTGTGTGTGTGTGTGTGTGTGTGTGTGTGTGTGTGTGTGTGTGTGTGTGTGTGTGTGTGTGTGTGTGTGTGTGTGTGTGTGTGTGTGTGTGTGTGTGTGTGTGTGTTTTCTCCCCCCAAAGGAAAAAATACATGGGAGGTTTGGTACCTCTTTTTCTTTGTTGTTTTTTCTTTCTTAAAAGAAAACAAAAACAAGGGGGGGTTTTCCGCCCATTCTTGGGGTCCTCCAGTTGGAACGCCCAAAAGGATCACCCACCGAGATTTCGGTTCGGGGGTCCGACGGTGGATCTGGCGCGATCGGTCAGCACCTCACTGGTTCAAGCTCAATCGTGGGGGTGATCAAAATTCCTGGTCCCCAAATGACGGAATTCTGGGGGTACCTTCCATTTCCATGTTCAAGGATCCTTTCAAGAAAACCTCTGGAAACCCAGGGAAAACGGAAAGAGATAACGAATCCCGGCCCAATCAGCAACAGCTGAAAAAGCTTGCTTTGGAGTCTCAGTTGGCCATGGGTCAAAAGCCCGTACCCCCAGTGAACATGCCAATCCCTACTAAAACAGACTAAGATGCATGCTGCACCTACCCCGAAATGCTACCATTGGTTTTAACAATATCATCTTTCAAGTGGTTTGCCCCAACGGTCATTTCATGTAGAGGACCTTCTGATCCACCCCCAAAATTGAGGGCTAAGATGTTGCACTTTGGAGCAGGGCTGCTATGGGTCCCGCCTTTTGGTGAGAAATTTGGGTGGGCCCCAAAATGTGTAATCCCCAAACCAACAGTAGACAACCAGTTGAAATAGGGAACCCTAAACTATGTCTTTTCCTTTCGATTTCCCTTACCAACCTAAAAGCTAAAAGAGGCAAACCCCGAGCCTTCAAAAATACGACACACAGATCAAGCACTCAAACCTTTGGCTTTCCCTTTCCAACAAAAATCAGACCGGGGAAACCGGTTTCGAGCCGCGGAAGAAAAAAAAGAAAGATAAACAAAACACAAAATATTAAATATATATATATATAAAGAAAAAGAAAAAGAAAAAGAAAAAAGAAGAAGAAAAAAAACAACGAGCCGCACAAATCCAGCAGCGCCCGCCTGCGCTTCCTCCGGGGGCACCAGAAAGCCACCCCGGAAGATCTGGCCCGTGTTGTCCTGGCCACTTGTTTCTTCTTCTTTTTTTTAAATCTGGCGCTGAGTCTTCCCCCGTCTGCCTCAAGATAGGGAACCCCGATACATCCGGGCATAGGTGTCCAATTTCTGGTTGAAAATCGGATTTCCCTTGATTCAACCGCCAGGTGAACCAATCGCACTCGATTCCTCCACCAAATCAACCAGAAAGGGCACCTGTGGCCCCGGCAGAAGAAGAAAATTGGGAGCGGGCCTTTGGGGGGGGATTCCAACTTGGCGCCATTTCCCATACACTCAGGCGAACATTTCCCATACGCTCCTGGGCCTTTGTAAATGGAACCAAGTCTTCCCAAAAAAAAACGGGAGCTTCCATGTTAGGGGGGAGTGTATCAAACTTCGAGGTGAACGGGGGAATCCTCAACCGTATCCAACTGGTTCCTGCATCCCTAGTTGGTTTCCCTGAGAAAAGTGGCCGCAAGGGTGGGGCCGCTTGGGGGGGACTTCCTCTACTCAAAAGCGGAAGCCCTGCGTAGGGGATTCCCTGGCAGAAGGTCCTCTACGACTCAAACCAAGAAGTAACCCTCAGGTTCCACGGGAAACCAAAAAAACTCTGGCTCGGCCTTCCCGGTTCTTTGAGCATTTGCCACGCCCAGCTGAACAATGTCAGAAACATCAAATGTCGAGAACTTCTCTGCACGAGAATGTTCTCTCAAGGCGGCGCCGCTTTGACCTGTGACGCGCTAAGCATGGCTGGCTGGCGATCGTCAGGTGTACATGCTGACGGCCTGAGCTTCCACTCTAAGATGGTTTCCACTGGCCTCAAACCACGACCCGGGGAAAATTGGGTGTGGGTCAAAATTAAACCACAAGGGAACGAACCGCAGGTTTTAGTCCATGTTTCCATTTACCAGAGTTCCATTTTAGGTACCAATTTCGGACCAACAGCCAATTGACACGAACAAGGCCGCCACACCAAGGGCATAGACCGGTCATTTACCCTTCAGTCCGGGCAGTGATGGTGGAAGCCATCTACACAGGTGCAACCGGTGGTCAAGAATGGCCCCAGAATGTTTCTCCTTACCAAACCCACAGTTCGTTTCTCAGGCGCAGTCGCTTGCCCTTGCGGTGCAGGCGAATGAAGCACTCCGTGCAGAAAAGGTCCACGCAGTCCTGCGAGAACCCCAGGAAGCGGAACCGAGCCCCAATACCAAAAGGCCCCACTGGGGAATGAGTTGAAAGAGGGGCCCTGTGGTAGGCATGATGTGGGTCTGTGTCTGGTTTTTGGGTACCCCCCAAAATGTGGGTTTTCCTTGTCGTGTCCCTTTCAAAAAAACAAAAACGGAATACCTTCAAAGAAGTCGCAACGATACGCGGGGTTGTGTCCACCGACCATTTGGAAGGGGTATTGGTGTTTACCACCGGGTGTGTCTTGTTTGGGACCCCCCCTTTTTGGGTCGGCTTCAATGGGATACCAAACTGAAACCACCCTCTCTTTTTTGGGGGGATCCCTATGTTGCGCCAAACCCAAATATGGAAACAAACTCCTTACCTTCTGGAAACCAAACAAACCTTGGGGATGTGTGTCCAACCACTTGTGAGGTGGATCCAACTCGTGAAATCCGTGGCCGCATCTCCTCACACAAGACCGAGGCGTTGTAGTGCTCGCACTCCAGGCACACCAAGCCATTGATCACACGCTTCAGGTGGTTGCGCCTGCGCGCGGCGCGCGGATGAGCCAACAAAATGTGCCCCCGCATGAGCCAACTTGAAGGAAAATATCTTGGCTCGAAAGGTGATGTTGAGAGCCACCAAAGACAAGGAATATAGAGAACTTTGCCTTCCACGCACTTCCGAACGAGCGGATTGGTCAGGAAAGTATCCAAACTTGTGTGCCGCTAAAAAGGGGATCGGGGGGTTCCCAGAGGTTTTGGTTCCCTTCATTTGGTAAACTGCCAGGCGCACAAGTCAGGGCGGGCAGCATCCCAGGCATGGACGTGCCTGAATGGCCGACAGCGCGCTCTCATTCTGTCTTGACGTGAGGGTCAAGGTAGATGGCGCGGGACTTAGGTCCACCAACCACTTTTGCCCAAGGGGATTTAAACCAAAATGGGAGGAAAGCGAATCGCCATCTACTTTCACCCAACTGTGATGCAACTCATTTCTTGCTGGTTCTCAGTAGGCAATTCTCGTCAACGACCCCGTTTCCGTTCATCGGATCCCCAACGGTTCATTCACAAAACCCCTCAACGCATTCTCTAAGAACCAGCAAGATTCTGCCGTCTTTGAGGTGCCCGCATGAAGCCCTCGTCGGAGTAGAACAAACCACATTGCACCTGAGAATGTCAGAGCTTTACTTGGTTGCTTTCTGCGCCCCTGCTAAAAGTTTAACTTTTAGTGGATTAATGGAAAACCCATTAGTTGGCAAAAAGTTAAAGTCTTAACATCCAAGCAAAATGCACCAAAGTTTACTTTCCTATCCTAGTGATTCAAAGACAAGGCTCATCGACAGCGTGCGTGTACAATAAGATTGCTCTAAAGCAGTGGATGCAAGTGTTCATGTTTGAGTGTGGCTCAAAATCAACCGATCGGAGGGGCAAACCGCAGGTTTTGGTCCATGTTTCCACTTCCCAGGGCTTGCACCATTTTGGAATTCCGGAATTTTTTGAGCCATAGCCATTTCTGTATTACCTGGGCCTTCATGTTTCTCCATTTGGCTCGTTGTCTCTACGTAAGGGGGAAAATACAAAAAAAATGGCTGGTCTCCGTTGCGATTCCGATTCTGCCCCAAAAAAGGCCGCCCCAGCCTCAAAAAAAGGAGAGCCGTCGCTTGGCCCTCCCCAACGATTTGGCCCCGGTCCCCGGTGATGAAGCTTCTTTCACTGGTGCTGGTCAGGTTTCATGGTGGAGTCACAAAGCGTGGGAAAAAAGTGGTCTACCCCAAACCAGGCAAACCGTCAAAAGGGCGGCTGGCAGTCCCTTACTCACCTGCGGGACCTGGGGCATCTCTCTCCAAATCAAAATGGCGGGCCTCTTGTATTCCCTTTACCTCAGTTCAGTGACCCTGGAAACAAAAAGGGAACCCTTTTTGGGGCTTGGACCATTTTTCGTGGGGCCACCAAAAAAAGGGGACAAAGAATTGGTGCCACTGAACAACTGAGTTACCGTAACCAGCAACAGAGGGCCAATGCTCATTTCTCCCCCATCTGATCTTGACCTTTCCATCGAGCTCTGAGTCTTGGAACGCACTGGCACGTCGCAACGCGATCCTCGAATGCAGCACCTCGGCTGGTGTCGAACATGGGCAGGCGAAACCAAAAGCCAAGAATCCCGCTGGGCAGGACCCAATGCCTCTTGACTTTTGGTTCATGGTTCGGTTTCTTACAAGGCCTTACGGATTCTACATGCCCAGTTGTATGGTGCAAGGCCGTGCATCAGGTCTGTTCAAAAAAATATATTTTTGGACAAAACGTCCGGACAAACCTTACTGGTCCTGGGTGAGGGAGGCGGGGGGAGAGGTTTCACGGGGATTCTCGGCGGCCCCCTGTGGGACACAAACATCAGCTTCCGAATCTTCCAATCTGGGCAAGTTGCGATTCAAAACCTGAATTCGCGGATCCCCAAGAAACCTTCATCGTTTTACCCCCGATCGGTGAGCACCGGTAAATGTTCGCCGGCATTGTGCAAAAGTGACCCGGTGAATCTGAATGTCAACCCTTGATTAAATAACATAAATAGGGGGGTCCCTTGCAAGTGCGGATTCCTTTCTGACAAAAGGGATCCCCTGAGTGACCACATTGAGGGTTCTATGAATTTGGGGTCGAGAGTTACTTGTAAGATTGGGTCTGGTAGGAGCTCAGAGGCTCAGCAACCTCCAAGGAAAAACACAACACGTTCGATGCTCTCTGGCTGTGGGCCAAAAATGGGTACCCAAAATAGCTCGCCCTGGTGAATGGAACCAAGAAAATATAACCATATCCTGGTGGTGTACTTTGGACCCAGACCCAGTTGTCTTGGGGCCGAGCATACCAGCTGCTCCACGTCAGATGTGATGTGGGCTCTTCGCTTTCCAGTGGCGTGCGTGCTATTGAAGCAATCCTGCGAAGCTCGACCCTTGCAGCTGCCAGACACAGTGCAAGGCACGCAGCTCTTCTGCATTTGACTATGGGCATTTGTGTTTTTGAGGGTATACTATTTTGGGTTTGCAAGAAAACCCCCACCCATTTGTTGTTTGCTTCCTATTTTAACACAAACGCGTGAGGCGGAGAGCAAATATGCCCCTTTCTCTCTGGCTTTTGGCATTGCGAATGTCCTACCAAGTAGCAGCTTCAGGAACTACTGTCACGGGCGCACTCCCACCAGGAAGCTCCAAACTATTGAGCCCGTACATTGATGGAATTTAGCATCTAAGGGCCTCTGGCTTCCCAGTATAGTGCGGGCCACAACTTTACAGAGACCTGTACACCGGGTGCCCACTTCACAGCGCGCCTTTGCTTGGGCACGCCTTTTAGTTGGCTTCAAGGGAAACCAGATGCAAACGAGCCGTTTCAAAATCCCCCATTTTGAGCATACCCGGCGAAAGCTCGCGAGTCTGCGAAAACTGTTGTGCTGGACCGGCTCCTGACAGAAGTAATCCTTGCACTGCTCGCACTTGAGCACCGCGGCACGGTTCTCGCACTCCTGGCACCTCGGAGATTTGCAGGTATATATAAAATTCAAGCTAGGATCCATTGGAGGACAGCGTGGCTTTTTTGGGGAGCCCCCTTTGCGGCAGTTTTGAAGGGGACACCAAAGGGAAACAAACGATTTTAGGTGGGTCCCCTATCTTAAAACACGTCATGTACCTGGAAGCTACGTCCGACCACTACGGGTGTCCCACATTGAAAATTGAAGCCTGAAAAATACAGTTGGGGAGTGTGGCACACGAGCCGGTGTTTTTCTCGGAAAAGCTTGGCTTTCTCATCTGACAATCCTTATGTCATTGGGGAAAAATCGTTCGAGAGAAGACGCTCATCACTGCACGCATGCCTGCCACATGATAAGCACACCCGCTCAAGAGCACACGCTCAGCTACCTGCCAAATGATAAGCACGCCTGTTCAAGAACACACGCTCCGCACTGCGTTCATGCTGTCACATGATAAGCCCGCCCGCTCAAGAGCACAAGCTAGAACCCCACAAGATACAAAAGGTAAACATTGACTGTCGTATATCATTTGACGTGATGACAAAACACGCAGGTCAGTACCAGTGGCACGTATTCAAGCCCCAAGGTTTGGCAGTACAGCCTTCTAAAGTGGGCCCAAAGGGCTTTCTTCACCCCAAAAAGGGATTCTTGGTATCGTAAAACCCTACTCTTCACAACCATGCATGGTGTGTCGCAAAAATAAAAAACTGACGCCCCAAAATGGCAGGTGTCCTTTCGGTTTCCCGTAAAAAACCACCCCACAAAGACTACCGAGACACACAAAAAAAACGAGCCACCCGTACGACTAGCGCAGTCTGAGACGCATTACAACTGTCGTGGGCTTTCGGATGACGTCCACCTCCGCAGCGTGAAAATTCATCGGACAACGAAGCCATGGGCCCCTGAATTCAGAACGGTACCCGTGGAAATAAACAACTCTCACACACACACCCAAACAAAAAAACGATTCCCAGGTAAGTGGGGATGATTCTGCCAAAATGAGGGGATTGTCATGGGTTCCATTTGTTTCCCAAATAGACTTAAACCCGGTGGTGGATGCCTGAAAAGGAAAACCCCTGAGTTTTTAGTCTACCCCAGCCAAGAGGTACTCAAAAAATGGAATCCTGGTTCCATCTGCCTTCACCCAACTGTACATCGAAATCTACCCAGAACCGTTGAACAAAAAAATGCAACAAACACATGCATGGAAAGCCTCAAGCATTCTGCGAAAGCATGTGATTGTTCAAAGGCAGACGAACCTGAAACCAGATTTGAAGCAAGACAAATGATAGAATGCCTGTTCCAAGGTGATCTCTCATCCGGCCATGAACTTGTATGTCTAAGTTCGCACAGAAATGGTTTGGGGATACGAACCCCCCATTCACTTGCTGTCCGAAGGGTCGCCGATGAACATTCACCAGTTGGGTTTATCTCAACCTGGGATTTGGAAACCCCAACCAGCGGCGCCGTGCTTGGACCCCAACCCGTTTTTGGACCCTGTGAAGACATAAACAGAGTGTTAAAAGTTAAACTCAACAATATCTTGGGGCTTAGGGTGTAACATGTTCAAGCATCCGGTGGGAATTGCCCACTGCACCAAAAGGGAGCTGGTTTTTCCCTGATTGCCAACCCACGGGACTGCACAACTCTTAGAAACCAACAAAAAAAATCCTATTGGAGAGTTAAAACCCCTGGTTTGTGGTGCTGTTTTGGGGGGAAATAATCTAAACATCCAGGTACCTCCAAATTGGTGGGAAAGATTGAGGGTTTAGAGGTTCGGGGGCGGTTTCCCAATTACCCTCCACAAAAGCCAGGGTTCAAATCCTCAAACCACCAGTCCAAACCACCAACTGAGGCTTGCCTGAAACCTGGTCTTCCAGCGGTCTGCCCAAAATGTAAAGAAACACGAGGGCAAACAGATCAGCACCTTTGTCTTCGCCCCGAATCGGTTTGAATGGACGTGGCTCAA